GAAGCTGCTCAACAAGCTGCTGGTGACCTGCCCCTTCACCGAGCACTGCGGCCAGGTGCTGCCACGCTGCGACCTACAGCACCACTTGCAGACCAGGTGGGTCCCACTGCCCCTGGCAGCCCCTCAGCTCACCCTCCAGTGTGGAGTGGGCAGCTGGCGGCTCCCAGGGCGCCTGTTTCTCTTGCCCTTTCCTTGGCAAGCAGTGAGACAGTGCGTTGACATAAGAGGTGTCCAAGGTGTTTACAGCTGTGGGTCAGTGGGAGGAAGCAGCCCTTGGCAGGGTTGTCAGTGTGTGCACATGTCTGTGCACATGTGTGCATGGTGTAAGGTGTTTACGGTGGACATTTTCTTCATGGAAGAAATAAGCATAACACAATTGGTCATTTGTAGGTATTTTTTGAGCAGACAGTTCAGAGACGTTAAGTGCATCCATGGCGCGTGCACCTGTGATTGTCTACATTTGGCTCCAGAGCCTGTTTCTCTCCTCCAAGCAAAGCCCCCCACCCCCACCACTGGGGCCCCCAGGCTCCCAGGACCAGCTGCTCATTGTACCCACCCAGCCCTTGGCAGCCCGAGCCACCTCCAGGCCCCACGAGCGTACAGCTGCAAGGACCTCATGTCCATGGGGACTATGCACACGACCTTTGTGGCTGGCGTGTGTGTGTGTGTGTGTTCAGAGGACATGGTAAGATGAAACAAGCAGCTTGCTCTGAGTCTCAAGGGGTGGCCTGGCGGGCATGACCTGCTTCCACTTTAGAAAAACACCCTCAGACTTTCCTGACCTGGAGTTCCCCTGGGTGGGAGTCAACAAGTGCAGATTACTGCTGGAAGAAATAGCACGTGAGCCCTGTGAGGGGCTCAGGGAGACAGTTAGCAGAGAGCTCTCTTCCAAGTTGTTCTGCTCGCTTTGGCCAAGGCCCACAGGTGGCATGCTCAGCACCATGACTACTGGCATCACCTAACACACCTACCTGCCCCTTGAGAGTCTCTGTGTGGATGCCTTGGAGCGGCACTGGCCTTGTTCCACCCAAGGAACACTCTCAGAGTACTGGGTGTTTAATCAATGGTGAACAATAATAGCACAATTATTTCCTAAGAGGAAATCTGAAAGGTGGTGTTTGCCACCAGTCCTGACATGACCAAGGCAAGGAACAAGCGCAGGGTTCGGTTTCCAAAGTCAACATCATGGGTCGTGAACTTGAGTCATTTTGGGGGGCCATGCATGAACCTTACAAATCTTGCAAACTTGCAAAGCTGTGGCCTGTCTGTGATGCTTAGCATGGAGTTTTCCCGCTGCTAAGGGTGGGGAACTCACTTCCCCGCCCCCCGAATGTGGGGCCAACACTGTCATCTGGGGGTTGCAGGTTGTTGCTGAGTGTCTGCTTATTCCTTGATTGAGGAAGCCCACAAGCACCTGTGGTCTAGGGCAAGGAGTAACAGGGGTTTATTTCTGATCTTGGCCAAACATTACCCGCGGGTGAGAGGCATTGTTGGAGGCAAATAGGGCCAGGGGCCGAGGGCAAGGTCAGTGCTGACAGGCACTGGTCCAGAACCTGGGTTAAGATCAAGGCCGCGTGGTACTGTAGGGAGGGGAGGGGCATGATAAAGGGGTCCTCTCCCTCCTGCCCTGCATCCCCACACCCTGCCTGCCCAAGCAGGAGGAGGAGGACCCTGATGGGGTGGACAAGGGTCATTGTTCCATCCCCAAGTGGACAGAAATGACACAAGTTCAGCCCTGTGACCATAAGCCCAGGCAGCAGGCAAATAACCCCCATGGCCTGCAGAAGGCTCAGTGGGGCTGGCAGTGATGGACACTTGGACAGGCCAGTGAGCAGAGACCCCAAGACTGACTGAAATCAGTCGTCTGTTTGAGCTGGGGCTCCAGAGGCCGCTCTGGCTAGCACAGCTGCCTCTCCAAGCAGGTGCGAGCCTCGCGGCTGCCCTTGAACCTCTCACCACCTCAGCTTCCTATGTAGGGTGACAGCAGCATTTGCAAAAATAGCTTGCCTGTATTAAAATGCAAGGCCCCACTCCTGCCCACTGGACACGTGTGTGCAGGGACGGGGGACCTGGAGCTTGCCCAGAGCCCGGCTCTTGGCACCTCTGGGCCCTGGTAGTGGGCTGGGCCATGGAGCCCCTTCCTACCCTTAGAAGCCATTGGGAAGGCTAAGGAGTTGGTCCCTCTGGTGCACGCAGACTCTCAGGGGCAGAGTGTTTTCTTCCAGGTTCCGTGTGAGGCTGGGAGTGCCACCATACACACGTGCTGGAGGCGAGTTTTGGTTCATCACCTTGAAGCTTTTCTTCTGTCCTCTTAAATATCTTTACTTTTAAGAAATGCGCACATAAATGACAGATATGACTTTGTAGCTATTTTATGATAGACAAACGTGGCGGATTTTTTTGATGTGCCTGATTCTTTGAGATACATATATATTGTACAGTTGCCAGCTCATTCATATGCATGACCTCACATGCTTACCCTTTTATATGGTGGAGATACTTAAAGTCTGCTCCTAGCAAGACTTACATATACACGGCAGTGTTACTAGTGCTAGCGCCTTCTGGGTTTACTCTCATCACATGGGTCTACTCTGACATGTGGGTCTACTCCCATCACATGGATCTGTGCAGAAAATGCCCAGGCAGGTGGTAGCCTTGGCACATTGACTAGCAGCCTTCTCCACCAGAGACCACGGCCAGCAGAGGTGGCAGGGCTGCTATAGAGGGTACCCGGGGGGAGGGTGTAGAGAGCCCAGCACTGCCCCCTCAATCCTGGGTGAGCCCCGCTTGGGTCCAAGTCAGCTCTCCAGGCTGTGGCTCATCATCCACACATAAACCGTGTCAAGGATCCCTGACAGGATGCATGAAAATCCCACGCAGGCCGTGATTTTAGTGAAAGGCAAAAGGGAGAAGTTGAGAACACCCCACTGTAGCGTGTTTGCTAGCACCAGCCACATCATCTTTGGATTTCTACCTTATTTCCTCAAAGTGGGACATCCTGTGGCTGACCTTTGTGAAGTGTCTTTGAGCGTGAATAAAGGGCCTTTGTCAGGTGTTTTGAAAAGCACCCTGCATGAAGATGCCGTAGAATTGTCCCAAGACACCTGTGGCTGGCAGAAGGCTCTGGGAATGTTTGCTTGGTGAGTTTTGCAGCCAGTGTCATAGGGACATCCTCATGGAATTGCACCCTGGACATCAGTGGGCCTTGTCAGGTGTCCAGGGGCCCATTTCTGCGATGTGTTTGATGCAGGGAGGAGAATGGGGGGAACCTGTTAGCGCGCCTGGTTAGCCAACCTCCCTGGTCCTTCCAGGGCTGCAGGCTGCTTCGTAATGTGCCCTGACGGCGACTTCCCAACCCTGAGCCCAGGTGTTCCCTGGCCTTTCCAGAAACAAGAAAACAGCAGGTGACAGGTGCTAAGAGGACATCTGGGGACAAATAGGATAGCCAGGACACAAGGAAGCTTGAGAACATCCATGACCATTTGAGGAGGAGATATCTTGTCCCTGGGAATGTATTCATGCAATTAATTAGAAACTATTCAAATTGCACGGCTTGGCCTGAGTAGAAGGTTGTTTACTCTTGTAACAGCAAGCTGGTGGATAAAAAGCCCAACATGACACACCATCGGCAGGCCAGTTCGCCCTGCTTTTCCGTTTAGCACCCATCTGCAGGCTGCTCACTCCAGCATCACACCCAAGTTCCAAGCAGAAAGAAGCAAGCAGGTGGGGAAAAGTACAGCATCTCTCAGTAGCCTGTGCCTATGTGAGGACACAGAAAGTCGGTGAGACAATGGACTGAAGACATTAGCTTTATGGCACCAAAAAGTTTGAAATCCATGAACAAATTCATAATTAGGCACATGCTCCATGAGCTTCTGGAAGACCCCGGTATGCCAAGACTTCAAGCATTGAATGATGGCAACACACTGAATGCCTGTCTCCTTGAGAAGTTATCTCATTCCTCCTCCTCGTTGATGCCCCTCTGAGGTGTGCCTTGATGGGTGTGGTCACAGAGGCCCAGAGCGGGTCCACTGTCACACAGCAAGACGGTAGCAGAGCCAGGAGTCAGACCTGTAAAAGGCATCCCTGACTACTTCCGGGAGCCACTTTTCACCTACCATGACTGTCAGCCTGAGCCAGAACCAAGCGCAAACTTGGACCTTGGCTCAGGCCATCAGTGTTGCATGGCATGCTTCCCCAGGGCTACAACACATTCATGCGCATGTCCTCAATACCTGATGCACCTGCATGGGCCCCACCCACCAGGGAATGTGGGGGCCTGGGACCAGTTCCCAGGCACCCCTCATTTCATTGACCTTTCCCTGGCCAACTTCCTACCAAGCCTGGCTTGCTGAGTGACCGGGTTGTCATTGGGGTAATTCGTGCCGTGATCCCCTTGGTCCCTTTTATGAACTTTGCGGTATAGAGTTGACAAAACGGGATTCAGTCAGCCTGCATATGGGGCCATTGAGCTCATTTGGCCCAGCCCTGCTGAGGAAACACTAGGCCTGGAATTCAGTGCCTCCCTGGCAAGCTGATGGCTAAATTGATAATGCTGTGTAGCCTGTAATTGGCATGGCCCTTGGTGGGGCCGGGGAGGAGGACATGGGGTCTGTTGTTGGCTGTGTCGCAGTCTGATCATTGGTTTGCCATTCACCCCCTCCCCAGGGGCATGTACCATGCCATTGCCCGCTTCCCACACTGGCAGCTTGCAGCCTGCCTGCCCCCCAGTCAGTGATGTCAGTGCACCAGCTGCTTCCCCAGAGCCAGTCCCAGGCTGCAGGCGGGGCTGGCATCTCTCGGGGCAGCAGCCTGCTTGCCGCTGTGCGCCTCGGCCCTAGCCAGCCGTGCTGGACCCTTCCCTGCCCGCCGCCGCTGCATCCCTGTCAGCATAATCCTCTAACGGGGGCTCCAGCTCTGAGTCATTGGCTGGGTCTGATTGACAGAGGGGCGGGGAAGAGGGACAGTGACCAGGAGGAAGGCAGAGCCCTGCTGGGACCATGAAGGCGCTCCTGCTGCTGGCCCTGCCCTGGCTCAGCCCTGCCAATTACATTGACAACGTGGGCAGCCTGCACTTCCTGTGCTCAGAACTGTGAGTCTGCACCCAGCCTGCCTGCGTGTGTGTGTGTGTGTGTGTGTGTGTGTGTGTGTGTGTGTTCGTCCTGACGCTGGGGCGGGACCTGGTCCCCATGCATGTCGCACCGTGGGTGGCGCCTTTCCCACAAGGCATTTGTTCCCCTGCATCTGGACCAACACTGCTTGCCTTTGTGTGGGGGTTTGGGTTTGGTTTTTGCGCTGCGCTTTTTCTCAATTGCTGCGTCTGCTTCTCCTGCCATAAATAGCATGTACAGAGGGACGAAGGGCAGAGCCTGGGCAGCGCTGTTCACAGGCAGCCCTCACATCCACTGACAGTGTCTGCCTGCACACTTGATAGTCCACACAGCACCTACCAAGGCGGACCTGGAGCCCCTGTTCCCCAGCTCCCTGTGTCCGTAACCCAGTCCTCTGTATTCTTGGTCATTTCTAAGCTTCTGGGAGGCAAAAAGAACCATTCCACGTTGCAACTGAACAGGGGACATTTGGCCACCTTTGCCATGCATATCTTCCTCTTTTTTCTGGAACAATCTGGAATAAGTCATCCCATCCTGATCTTTCACCCCTAAATACTTCACCCTATGTTTCTCTAGCATAAAGCCCTATTTTCCTACACGACCCATGTACTTTTTTATGGGAGGAAATGACTCAGGCCCCCAACCTCTGGGGTTCCTTGTGTTTGTAAGCATGGAGAGAGGAATGCAGAGTGATGTGAGTTGCTGCTGGCAATCATATAAAATATACTTCAATGTGTCACTCAGCATTAGCAGCATTTACAGAAATGCATTCCTCCTTATTAGCCAGACAGATCAAAATAGCTAGAGTCAGCTTGCGTGGAAACTGGAGCCAGCGCGTCAATGAAAGTGAAACTTTTAACAGAGTTCAAGAGGACAAAGGTTGGCTGGCTGTGCCTGGAGCGGGAGCGTGGTGACAGCAGGTGACCCACTGGCAGTTGGCCAGACCAGCCCAATGGCCCAGTCCAGTGGATACCCCATGGACAGCTGCGCTGGGTCCTTGGGGACAACTCATTCTTTAAGGAATGTTGTATTTTACGATTACTGAGTTTGACCTTATCGGAGTGTCTGACTTAGCAAAGGCAAATGCCAGGAGCGAGTGTCTTGCTCCAGCATGAATCACAAGCATCTCATTGTGGAGATTTTTCTAGAAAAAGCCCACGATGGCAGCACTAATGGAGATGATGAAAAGGGCTCCTTGCTTCTCAATGGAGGCTGCCTCTGGGGAGAAGTCCAGTGCCTTGGTTTCCTTCTCTGCTGTCCCACCTGCTACACCTCCTGGACCCTGAAAGAGTTCAGTTTCCAGGGCTGCAAGTTGGGTCTCTTCTGACACCAGAGCCCTACCCCTCACGGTTCTGGGGGCCACAGTGGAACATCCAGGTGCCAGAAGGGCCACACCCCCTGGGAAAGTGCGGGAAGCAGCTAGGCCTCGCTTGCCTGTGGTGCCCACATCCATGCTTCCCTTTGCCCCTGGCCGGCTCAGTGGCCTTTCCCAATCTCTTCGTCTTGCAAGGACCCTTGTCGGTGACCTCCAGACCCACGTGGATATCCAGGATGACCTTGAGAGCCTTAACCAGGACCCCCAAGACCATTTCTCCAAAGGGTCACAGGGTAGACTCTCCACAGCGTAGACTCCAAAGGCTCTGGGTAGATCCCACCCACCCTCCTACAGTTGCTATGGGGACATCTCTCCTGAGTACTCTCAGTGCTGTGAGCCACATCAAGACAGGTGCCTGACCCTGGCTTAGTGAGCTCCCCGCTTTTTTAAGTACAAGCACATGAGTGTGAGGCAATGCACCTGATAGATAATGGAGTGGATGCAGGCTGGCCATTCTTCCCACCACATGGAGCAATCCAGAAACCATGAGTCCAGGGAACTGCCAGGCCTGTTTTCAAATGTATTGTGTATAATGTTTTTTAAAAGATCTAGTTATTTTTGTTTGAAAGGCAGAGTTACAAGAGTAGAGACGGAGAGATGGTAGTTTTCCATCTGCTGGTTCACTGTCCAAATCGCCACAACTGCTGGGGCTGAGCCAATCTGAAGCCAGGAGCCAGGAGCTTCTTCTGGATCTCCCACATGGGTGCAGGGTCCTGAGGCCTTGGGCCATCCTCTACTGCTTTCCCAGACCAAAAACAGGAAGCTAGACAGGTAGTGGGGCAGCCAGGTCTCAAATCAGTTCCCCTATGAGATACCAGCATCACAGGTAGAGGTTTAGCCTCCTATGCGACAGCGCCCACCCCCAGGCTGTGACTTTTTCAGAAGCTTCAATTGCAAGGAGATTGTGTGAGCCTTTCCCTGATGCTATGAATTAGCAACACATGTCACATAGCATGGCTTCCTGTAGCTTGAATGCCTCTTGGCTCCGGGAACCGTGTAGGACTTAAATTCCAGGGCCAGGGCCACGGGATGGTGGTGCTGGGAGGGAGTGACTTTAACCGACTTCTGCTAAGTAATGAGCCCAGAGAGAGGGCCTTAGGTCACTGGCGAGGAGCCCTCAGGGTGGTCCTGTGAGCGGCTTCCTCTGAAAGCTACATTGGGTGCAGTCTCTGCTCTCTGGATCATGGAGGGATCTTCCTGCACCTCTGCTGCCCGAGCTCCCCAGGTGACCACACCCAGCAGACCTGCCCTGTCCTGAGCCATGCACCAGGACACAGCCCTTTCCCTCCTCCGGAGCCCGGGTTGGGTATCCAGCCGCAGTGACCGAGTGCTGATTAGCACAGGCAGTAAGAAATGAGCCACTCCCTAGCACTAGGCCGTCTGCAAACATGGAATCTGCATTTAAGACATGGAAGAGCCAATCCAAGCCATGGGATTGAGTCGAAGTGGGGAGCAGGTGGTGGCTGAGATGTGGTGGAAGGAAGGTGCCTGCTGCCTGAAGAGCTGGGTCTCAGCTGGGGCAAGGGCTGGAAAGAGAAAGTACTTGAGCAGGAAATCAGCGCCCGGAACAAGCTGGGGTGGCTGTGATTGTCTTCAAAGCCGGAAGGTCGGCCATTTCTTTAGAGCAGCAAAGTGGACTTTGGGTCCCAGCTCGTTAGCACCTGGGGAGAAGGCACCATGGGTGGAGCGTAGAGAACTGCTCTTCCCGCCTGGGCCCTCAGGCACTGGAGGCAGGCCAGGCTTGGGACCAGGGCACCTCTTCACTGAACCCTGGAACCCGGGAGCCCCTCCTGCGTTTCCCTTTCTCTCCAAAGCCACGGCTCCCAGTCCCATTCCCTGAGGAGGAGGGCAGAAGCAGGTCGCTGGTAGGACCCAGGTTCATCCACAGATGGGCAGACAGGCAGCTGTGGAATGGGATTTGCAAGTTCGAGTACCCCCCTGGGAACCAGGCAGGACTTGGTGTGGGCCTGTGGACAAGAGGAGGTGGGAAAGGCTGCCATCGTGCAGGCTTTACGAAGCCTCAGAAACGTCATGGGAGTGTGTCTTGTGACAAACTACACGTGAATGGTCGGTTCCATGGTTGGTCGGTTGGTTTGACACACTTTCATTCAGACATCTAAGTCTCAGGACTCTTGGCAGTGGGCCTGTCAGCCTCACGTATGGGCATGGTGGCAGCCACAGCCCATATGAGACATCAGGAAGGCCTCGGCTGAAGCCCCCGTGGTTCTTCCAGAGTTTCCCTGTGGGATATCCTTACCCACCTCCTGGGTAGGCCTGACCCTGATGCTGGGCTCTTACTGCCCAGTCCGAAAGCTCTCCGCTCAGCCTGGGCAACACTAATGCCTACACGTGCAGCCCAGTGCAGAGTAAGGCTGAGCCAAGTTCAGTGGCTGCCTGTGTGTGGCACTGTCGGCTGTGAGTGGGGAGGCCCCAGTATGGGATCTGGCTGGCAATGGTATGGGGTGGCCTTCCCTCAGCTTCCAGCATTGCAGCCATGTGCTTGGTTAACTGAGCTGACCTTGTCCTGGCCGGTAGGCTCCTGTGGCCCCCACAGTCACAGCATTTCTTTAAGTGGTCAGCAGGATGCCCAGAGAGCAACCTGGAGACAGAGTGGCTTTGGGCGAAGGAAGGTGCACCAGGTCAAGTTAGACGACTCTGGTTGGGCTCTGGTTTGGCCCCAGTGCAGGGAGACAGAGAGGCTGGGCAATAGAAGACCAGTTACAACTCCCCCCTCGCCTGTTTCCATCCCACCTCATTTGCTGTGCTAGCTGCTCTCCTCACAGGCAGGGTCCAAACCAGTAGGGGCTGTGTGGCTGTGCCAACAAGTGCTTTCCCAATTGAGTCTCTAAGAGTTTGTTTACTGCTCAGGGAAGACAGGAACTGAGAGAGGAAATGGAGAGCTCCAGCATCCCTTGCTGTGTGCCTGGAACAGCTGAAGTTGAGTGTGCATTTGGCCCAGAGGGAAGGGGGCAGCGTTCACAAGAATATGGGTTAGCACAGAGGAATCAAGGTTGGCCTTGGGGAGTCAGAGTGGGCACCCCCAGACCCGGTCACTTTCTTGGGCCTCCCAAGGCATTTCGGGACAGCACATGTCCCACAGGGCATTTCCCGTGCTGTTTATGTGTGTTTGGAAGGAGATGGACGTGGCCTGCTCCTGACTCATTCACACACACTCGTCCAAGTGCGGCTCTGGAACGAGACCCTGACTCCGGGGAGCATCATGATGCTGTTCCAGGGCCTCGTGTTCACTTGAGGCTCAGCAAGCTCTCTCGCCAACAGCAAAGCAACGCCCGTCCCTCATCAGCTACAGTTCCAGCATCAGCGTTCCTCGGAGAGCAGGGATCCTAACCCAACCCAGCAGTTGTGTCTGTGCTCAGAACGCCCAGGAGCTGTGGGACCCATCTGCAGTCACAGGAGTAGCAGGCCGTGCCGGGGACGCTTTAAAAGACTCTGAGAGGTGTTTGCTTGATTTATCTCACATTAAGTTGTTTGAATCCTCCATTTTAAAGATATGTTTTAATTGGGAAGGCAGATTTACAGAGAGGAGGGTGACAGAGAAATCTTTCACCCACTGGTTCGCTCCCCAAATGGCCACAGCAGCCAGAG